GCAGCAACGGCCGCTAATCCTCATTCAAGCATGCGAGAATTGTCTAGAGATTTGGGAATATTCCAGAGCAGTGTTAGCAGAATATTAAAACGAAATAAATAAATAAGTTCAAAAAATAAAACGAAGTATTTTATTCAAAAATTATTGGAGAATCGTATACAGAAGAAAAATCTAACAAAATTGATTTTTTTTCATTACAAATATGAAAAAATGTTTTTGACAAAATCTACCTATTTTTAGTCGAATGATCCGAATCTACAATAAAAAATAGGGTGTTCCATTGGAAATTTAAAAGTTTCCACCTGTTCCCCCTATACGAAGGAGAGTATGAGGACCAATTTTAGTACTGATTGATTTTCCCCTTCGAATCATTTAATTTTTATCTTAAACATTTTTTCGTAAAATGCATACTAAATGAGATATTTCAAAGTTTCAAGTTAAATGACTCACCCTGTATACATGTATACATGGATGCATCCAAAATCAAACCAAATTAATTAATTAGGCCCGCTTGCCATTATGCTAATTTTAGTACTGAATTTAGCACTTTAGCGCCGATTTAGTACGAAAAATTAGAGCATGTTTTAATTTCTTGTACTAAAAACCCTGAAATGTCAACTAAATGTTCTGTGCTTAAACATGTGGAGTCATAAACAAATAGAGTTTAATTGAGCTATACAAAGCAAATCCGTGTCTACACGAAAAAAAAAATTAAATTAAATTTTACAACAACCATATTGTAAAAAAATGTTTAATTATTTAATACAATTGTTTTGAAATTAACTAAAACTTAAAGCATTTATATCAACGTATAATTTATTTAAAGTACACAATTTTGGAGCACGGCAAATCTGTATTATTTTTAATAAAGAATTGCATTAGTCAATACAATATTTTATTAAAATATATAACAATATTAATTTAAAACAGAAATTGTAGTAATTTAACTACAATATATAATTATATCTTCAATAAATTGTTGTTCATTTTTATTACAAAATTGTTAAATTATTTCTAACAAATTGTTCTTGGTCGTATTTTTTAAACAATTTCTACCAGAAAATTCTACAATTGTAGTACTTTCCACAACATTATTGTTTCCATCATATATATATGTGCGAAAAGATTCTATGTACAAAAACAGAAATACAAGAATCAAAGCATTGGAATAAATAAAGGGGGAATTACCCAAATTAGGTGTAGATGCATTTATTTATTATATTTCTACGATAGATGCATAAAAGCCAAATTTAACAATTTACGGACAATTTTTTTGGTACACCATAGAAAATATTTGTCATCTGTAAAAAGCGGAGCTGGTACCGATGATACTAATAATTTTTCGTTAATAGTATATTATGTATCAAGTTTTATGAATGCCATTTTAGTTACGAGTTTTGTTAGACACAAGCGAAGCTTGCAAGCGAGTGTTTAATAAAAACGAGTGTCTAGAGAAGTTTATAAAACGAGTTGCATACTAAACTTTATCTACGACGCACACGAAAAAGAATTTAATTTGTTTAACATTTGACATCTGTCAACTTTTAACGGATTTAACCTCACTTTTCCCTAATAAAGCTAACTTCAGCCCGTGACTAAAACACCATAAAGTCGCAGCTCGTCAATGAAGGAGTAGATAAACATATTTAATATTCCTTTGCCTAACCCTCTTCCCTTGATCCATTTTTTTCTTCATATACGCTTTTTTAAGAAGTTTACGTAAGATTTCTTTTCTTAATTAATCGTATCATTATTACAATTAAAGCTACTGCACATAATATTTTTTTTTCGCCATCATTTATTTGTTATATCGTGTTATGTTATGTTAGGTTAGGTTATCAGTACACAAAATACAAAATTGTTAGACGCATGCCTACATACTAAATAATATTAATGTAGTTGCAACAGAAACCCATATTTTTCATACTAAGGCTGTGTTCCGTAATTTACTGCCATTACTGTCAGTAATTTTACTGTCAGTAGCGGAAAGGACCGTTCCGTAATTTATTCAGTACTGACGCACAGTGAAATTGGAACGCGCCTCAGTAGCAGCAGAAGGTGACAATGGTTACACAAGGTTATGATTTGTGATTTACTGACAATTGACAAACTTTATTTTCGGCACAGCACACCGAAAAAAATAATGTAGTTGAGTTAACATTTACCTAAATGTCATTTTTGAAAATGTTGTTTCAACAAAAAACCTATTGGATTAATCTATATTTTGGTGTTAAAGCAATAGTCAGAGTTTGTCAAAGTTTATTTGTTTATTTGACAGTTAAAATATTGATTTAACATTAACTAATTTTTTGAATTAAAATGTTTATCCTATTTTGATTTAATAGCTGGAATAGGTTGAATCGACCACTGAAATGTTTAGGATTACCTAAAAAACTATTAAATTAACGTTTAGTTGCTCTTTAATCCAAAACATTAAATTTGTTCATTTAACAAATTGTAAATGTTACTTTAAAATTTAAAATGTAAAATTTGCATTCATAAAATTGCCGAGAATGGCGCTTCGAACACCCGCGCCACGTCATTATACGATGACGTGTTCTTACATCTCGCCTTAGTTGGCTTACGATTAGGGGTATATAAGATCAGCTATAGCTGTTTGTTTTAGGTGTGTTCCACAGTGGAACTTTCACTACACCATGGTGTAGTGAAAGTTCATATGCATATTGCCCGACACTGATAAGACCCTCAATACAGGGCGAAACAGCTGTCTGTCGGTATTTAAAGTAGGTGGAACACGCTCAAAACAAAAACTCTGGGCGAGGTGAAGGTTCAATTCTTTCTCTTTATATATAATAATATATTATTTCCATAATTTTGTCTTGGATACCAACCTTTAAAGAAATTTAAATTTTCAGAATGTTAATTTAACATTTTATTGGTGTTAAGTGAATATGCTAAAAAGGTTACCTGGACATTTCAAGAAATTCACCTTAACACCCTAAGAATGTTAAATTAACCAAATTAGCAGATTAAAACAAATATTCTCATTTTGTTCATTTGACTGTTATTTGTTGTTCAATTAAACAATACAATTTGACATTTTTAGATGGTTAAGTAAACGTGCAAAAACCATTGCTTGTATTTAAAGTGCATAAAGAGTTGAATTAATATTTTTGTTGTTGTTTCAACAGCTTATTTTTTTCAGTGCAGAGAACATAAATAAAAAATAAATATAACAGTTATAAGAAATATAATGTTTGGTTTATGGCAGAGAAATATGGAAAATTTAATGTTATCGTCGTCCGCGTCGAAAAATGTATATAGGAATAGGAAATATAAAATTTCACTGACACCACAACAATAAGCCAAATACCAAAAATTACTCTTAAATTCGTCCGCTGAACACAAATATATAACATTTTCTAGGTACTACCTATAGGTAGTACTATAGTAGGTAGTTTTATATTCTGGGTCTTCGTATGCGTACTCCCCGCCGACCTGCCTTCGTCACTGCTGCTTGTACTTTCAAGTAATATTTTATCAATAAATATTAAAATAATTAGTCCTATAGGTATTCACCAAATACCATTATATGATGGCTATGTTCCGTAATTTACTGTCAGTACTGTCGGTACTGAAAACGCATTTCGAAATCTACTTTCAGTTACTGAGCTCAGTGGTAATTACTACCCTTTTATAAATGTACGGCAGATTAATTTTACTGAAACAACTGGGGACAGAGAAGTGCTGTGGCTCCAGTAAAACACATAACCAAACTTTTAAACAAAAAATAGCTGTCAAATAAAGTGAAGGATATAAATTATATCATATAATGGTATTTGATGAATACCTATAGGACTAATTATTTCAATATTTATTGATAAAATATTACTTGAAAGTACAAGCAGCAGTTACGAAGGCAGGTCGGCGGGGAGTACGCATACGAAGACCCAGAATATAAAACTACCTACTATAGTACTACCTATAGGTAGTACCTATTTTCTATAGAAAATGTTATATATTTGTATTCAGCGGACGAATTAAAGAGTAATTTTTGGTATTTGGCTTATTGTTATGGTGTCAGTGAAATTTTATATTTCCTATTACTATATACATTTTTCTACGCGGACGACGATAACATTAAATTTTCCATATTTCTCTGCCATAACCAAACATTATATTTCTTATAACTGTTATATTTATTTTTTATTTATGTTATCTGCTGTGCCGAAAGTAAAGTTTGTCAATTGTCAGTAAATCACAAATCATAACCTTGCGTAACCATTGTCACTTTCTGCTGCTACTGAGGCGCGTTCCAATTTCACTGTGCGTCAGTACTGAATAAATTACGGAACGGTCCTTTTCCGCTACTGACAGTAAAATTACTGACAGTAATGGCAGCAAATTACGGAACACAGCCGATATAATTTATATCCTTCACTTTATTTGACAGTTATTTTTTGTTTAAAAGTTTGGTTATGTGTTTTACTGGAGCCACAGCACCTCTCTGTCCCCAGTTGTTTCAGTAAAATTATTCTGTCGTACATTTATAAAAGGGTAGTATTTACCACTGAGCTCAGTAACTGAAAGTGGATTTCGGAATGCGTTTTCAGTACCGACAGTACTGACAGTAAATTACGGAACATAGCCTAAATCGACTTGCGCAACCACCTAATATTTTTAGTACTAAATTCAGTACTAAAATTAGCATAATGGCAAGCGGGCCACCCTAATGCGCATAAAGAAGTAATGTAAAATATATGTACCTAGTAGGAGTCCTGAAAATAATTATATATTAAAATATTGTTTTTATCGTGTTTGACGCTTGTCAAGCGACTGTTAAAGAACAAACAACAAATTTTGCCGAATACAACGCACACCATCGCACGCAATGTGTATCTTAGTCGACTGCGTAGCAGTCCTGCGGACTCCTGCCACCTGTTTGGATTGTTGACTGTTTCTATGTGGATTGGAGACCGCGCCAACTTTGCCATCCTCCTCCTCGGATGCCAGGCCTCCCTTGATCAATTCTGCTCAAGCCGCGGTTACGTTCACATCCCGAAGCTGCTGAAACGCGGGCACCGGTCGCGCGTCTTTGAAAACTTAAGTTTACTTTTTTCTGTTTCTGCGCTCGATTATCTTTTTATTTCTTTGGTTGTGGTTTTTGTGATGGTTATTTTTTCGGAATTTTAACGGTCTTGGATTAGGGATCTAATATGTAAGTACAACATAGGTTATCTATGTTTTTAAATGTTTACAAAATAATTTGAAAAAACTTTTTACCAAAAATATGGAAAAACAAATTTGAACAGTTAATTATTGTTTATTGTTATTTTTATCAAATTATCTTTAACTTAATTGGTAATATAACTTATTATAACTATAATATTATTATTTTTGGTCCAATGGTATTTTTTTATTTATTTGAAAATATATTTTTCTTCATAACAAAAATGTAGGAATCGTCATAAAAAATATTTCATATTTATAATTTCTTTCAACGATTTTTTTAAATTTGTCAATAAATTTAGATTATTTGTCTTTTTAATTAAAATTAGTACAATAAATTAATAAAAAAATTATTGAAAAATTTGAACAGTTAAAAAATATAAAATGTAATTTTAAAGGTAAATATTTTATTAATTTATCAGACCAACCGGTCCAATTTCCATTATATACTTAAAGAGCTCCTCTTGGTTTAATTATTTTTTTTAATTAACGGGCACAAAGCTAAACTAATTGCAAAAAATAATATCAATTAATTAAGGTTATTTAATTAAATGTAAAAAATATTTTTAAATTAATAAAAAAAAACTTTAATAAAAGTAACTTAACATAATACACAATAAATGAATATGGGAATTCCCGTTTAAATAGAAAGTTTCCACCCCGTTTTCTCAGGTGTTACGTAAAAAAACGCAGGCGCTTATCGATTTTTGATTTAAGGGGTTCAATTTTTTTAACCCCTTAACTTTAAGCGTTGGTGATAGTTATCCTCCAAATTTTTAATGTGAAGGGGTTCAAAGTTGATATGACACCTTCTCAAAATCTTGTAAAATATGTCTGTTTTTAGTTAATTAATTAATTAATAACAAGAGCGACTTCAAACTTGGCGTATATAATGAGGGTCAGAGACCTTTAAAATGAGGCATTACCTATTTCTTATTACGGTGGTGAGTTTACCCTAAAAAATTTTAAATGATAAGATGATCGGTCAAGGAGTTTTTTATTTACAAAAAGGACTTCACAGTCTAAGTACTTTTGTCTGAATTGTTTTGTGTTTAAACGGAGCAAAATTAAAAAGCAATTCCAAAGGACACTAATGAAATTTTAACTGAATTTGCAGTGACAGATTTAACGTATGCGCCTTGGTCGCAAATTGAATAGCAACCAAGCATATTTCGCAAATACCTTGGTAAAGAAATAATGTATCAGGCTAATATTTGAGAAAAACATACCATCTGTCAGCTATAGCAAACATTCATTTCAAATGTTTAATGTTTAATGCAGATATATTTGTGTTTATACTGGTAAACATTGTAATTTTAAAAAAGTTTTAAAATGCGGGCTTATTCATATTAAACTTAAAGAATAATATTTACAAAATATTTGGGTTTGTATAATTTAAGAACTAAAATAAATTGTTTTATAAACATTCATATGGGTGATTCTACAAAAGTTGGGCAACTTACCTCATTTTGTTTATATAGTTTTGGGAGAAAATTAAACAGTATTTTGTAATGAGAACATAGATAATATAATAAATATACTGTTCCAATAATACCACACATCAGTGGCGGCTGGTGGATTTTGGGTATACCGATATGTCAATTATTAGATATGGGACCCACAACAAATTTATATGAGTTTATAATGACATTAAATAAATAAGTTCTGCGCCAACAGAATTTAAATTGAAGTTTGCGAAAAAAAGATAACTTTTTGCTCGGCCGTACCGGCCCCAATAAATATAATATAAATTTAATTGGTGCAATTTATTATTTACCATAGAAATTTCAAATTTCATTTAAAAAAATCCATATTATACAGATTTTATACCATTTTAAATTTTTAATACATCTTTAAAAAGCCTCCTGTTCTTTTTCCTTTTTTTAAGTACCTCAATCTTTCTTTTTCTTTATATTTTGCTAATTTAAAAAGGTCATTTTTAATTTTACTTAAACAAGCCTTCTCTGCTTCTTTTTTTTCAATATTTCTTCTCTTGTCAATTTTTGCTTTTCTTCTTCTTCTTCAGATATTGGCCTTTATTTTATTTCTGATTATTTGGCCAGCTCATGATAGGAAATTTTTGCTTTTTATTTACCAGCGCCATGGTGTTTTGATCTAAAATAAGTAAAATAAATGTTTACCTAGTACAATATTTGTGATGAAAAGGTTCTGAGATAAAAATCATCAGTACCATGGTAATACGTCAGTCCTATGTCGAAACATGGAACTGTCGACACGGTACTGATTAATGGGATACAAATTTGAGATTATAATTCGGAATTAAGTATTTTACTGATATTCTTTATTAGTGGATGCTACTTATCAACAAATCACATATAGCCTTTTATAAATTATATAAACGAAATATATATACGTAAGAAAATAACTACTCACGTGAGTACCACAGTACTGAAATTTTGACTGGAACTATACGTGCATTCACCAAAACTTCGCCGCTTGCATTGTTTTCAAGATGACTGTCGTGCAAAGGGCGGGCTCTGTAGGTAATTTTTTACAAACACTTAGGTTAAAACGAGGACTTCACGTTTAAACTTCAATATTTCGCGGAAATTTTGTATTTTAACATTGAACACAGAACTGACGGGTAAAAGTGAGTACAAAGATTATCAATTTTTTAAAAATTGCTATTATTCGAATCTATGATAAAATATGAAAAATACATTATTTAATTTTTTATAGTTTGTAGTGAAATTGAAAAATTTAAGATAAATTGAAATTATTTTAATATAAAATCACTCAAATATTTGATTCAGGAGTTGTGACACGCCAAGGGACTGATGTTTTGAATATTTATTATTTTTTTCTACAAACGAGCTTTTGAAAAAATACATTAAAGTTGGGTGGACAAGTTAAACAAACCTGGATTTTTTTTAATATACTGAAATATTTACAAAAAATATTAAAATACCTACTTTATTGACTGATGCCATTATGTTGCCCAACTTTTGTAGAATCACCCATATCTAATTTATAAGTATGTAAATTTAAAATATTTTAATTCGACACATTCTTAATAAAGCAATAATAATAATTATAATTATAATAATAATAGTAATAATATTAATAATAAATATTTTGTGGTATTTCTACACTATAATAAATCTTTCGCAAGGCAATATTTATTTAAATACAGTTGTTGACTGGTTAGTCACGAACTAAAAGTTTGTGCCAATTAGTAACGTCCAAACATTTTATACGATTATATCCTGCAAATAGAAATATCCAATAAATTTGTTATTTGTACATAAGGGCCCGGGCGTTTCAAATAAGAGCTACGTTTTTTTAATTTGCTCCGGTTAGAAAATCCTGTATAAAAAGAGATTTAGAAAAGCAGGTCTTCCATTAATTTAGGGGAGAAGATTGGAACATCGTTTTTTTTGTTTTTTTTAATTACCATTTAGCTCCTTTTTATTTAAATCTCAAGCATTAAATATATTTTTAAAGCAATAATGTCCTATTCAAAAGTATCCATAAAAAAGCTTTTTCAAGCTTTATTATGTTATTTAAATGAAAAAATACAAATCAATGGGTAAAATTAATATCAAACACCATTTTTTTAATAATTTACCTAAACTGCTCGAAAGTTGATAATGAATTTTAAATATAACATAAATAAGCACAAAACTCGACGGAAAATATTAATTGAGGGGCTTGGTGCAAGAACCGGGTATCTCCATATTCGGAAAATGTTCAGGATACAAGAAAAACCTAATTTTTTTTTATTTTTTTTATGGGTACTATAGACCAATTGACATTAAATTACCAGATTTGCGGTTTATTATAAAATTTATTATAAAATTAGTTATCGTAATAGTAACTATGGAGATACCTCGTTCTTGCCCAGTAATTACAAAAAAATAAGTACACGTCTTTACAATAATAAACTTATTATCCAAAAATTAAGTAAGGGGCAGTCCATAAATGATGTCACACACTTGGGGGGAGGGGGTCGTCGGAAATGTGATAGCTTGGGGGAGTTTTAGCAGCCTGCTAATAGCAGGTTGTGACGTCACAAAGAGTAAATTAAAAAAATATTCTAATGTTTCTTTTTTGTATTTTTATTCAAAGTAGGTATTTAATAAAGGATAGAACTAACTTAAAAATAAAATCATTGTGACGTGACGACAGTGGGGGAGGGGGGGTACTATAATTTATGACACTTTGTGACAAGAGGGGGAGGGGGGTCAAAAATATTTAAAAAAAAGTGTAACATCGTTTATGGACAGCCCCTAAGAAAAAAGAAATTTTGGCACATACATTTATTATTATGGTCAAAAAAATATTTTTAACAAAAAATATTATATTTTGGTATTATTCAAATTCGCTACATTCACAATTTTCTCCGGAGTTACCTGATTATTGCACAGTTTAATTTCTGAGGTATCTCCTGTATCTGATATATTTAGTTAACGCTAACGTGGATCTACAGGGTTTGTGCACCGAACGATGCGGACTACTGAAGGGTGTATCTTTATATACCTAACTCAATTTAGCAAAAATATGGAGATACCCGGTTCTTGCACCGAGCCCCTGAATTATTCTGATCAATATCTGATGTTATCCTTCAATGCTCAATGTTCAATTTATTTTAAATGTTTTAAATGTTTTATTAAATTCCTGATAACCTTTTGAGCAGTCTATTTTACATGTTCCAGAAGATTTAAAAACTGAAGCAAAAATAACAAATTTCTAAAAACCATAATGTACTTTTTCTATTAAATTTCAGTCAAAGTGTCAAAGTCAAAATTATAGAATATTCTTGAAAAGAATAGCACAGATTTTAAATTGAAATAAGAAAATCGCCCAAAGCCTAAAATTTTTATGTTGGAAAGTAGGTAGAAACAGTGGCGAATTTCCAAATAGGCTATAGCCTACGGCTTACATACCTACACATTGAACAATCTATGCGGCCAAAAGTCAATTCATAAAAACACCAAATACTTCTATACCCTTCTGATAATAAAAGCC